ATCCAGTTGCAAAACACACGGGAAGTGGATTTAAAGTGCACTATTTAGTGTGTGTCAAAGCACCCTAAAAGCCTTCCTCTGACACGGACCGATTTCTACAGAAAGATTTAAAGGAGAATAACTGGATCCAGCACAGAGTATGGATAGGCCCTTAAATGAATTGCAGCACTAAAGGTAAAGATGCGGGGAAATGTCTGTTTCCTTCATTGGAACAAACAACATCTCCCCAGGGGAGGGGGGGGTTATCTTAAAGTCATTAACAAAACTTGGAGAGAAAACATTTTTAAACAAAACCCTCCCCAGGCACTGTGGCCCCATTTATAAGCCAGTTTGGCGTAGTGGTTAGGAGCGCGGACTCTAATCTGGGAGAACCGGGTTTGATTCCCCACTCCTCCACATGCAGCCAACTGGGTGACCTTGGGTCAGTCACAAGTTCTCCCAGAGCTGTTCTCTCAAGGGCTCTCTCAGCCCTGCCTACCTCCCAGGGTGTCTGTTGTGGGGAGGGGAAGGGAAAGGAGTTTGTAAGCCGTTCTGAGACTCCTTCAAGTAGTGAAGGGCGGGGTATAAATCCAATCTCTTCTTCTTCTTTACCAACAATACCAGCCAGGAGACCCAGTCTGGGTCTCCCATCACACGGTATGGCCCATAAGATTTCACAGGAACACGCAAACCAGACCATCGGTCCATCAAGGTCAGTGTTGTCTACTCAGATTGGCAGTAGCTCTCCAGAGTTTCGGGCAGAGGGTCTTCCACATCACAGCCGTCATGATGTCAGGACACTGGTTAATTCTACGAGACACGACAGACGGTGAAAGTGGGGCTGTTTTGGGTGGCGGCCATGTGCTTTGTATGTAGTCATGTATGGCTGCGAGAGTTGGACTATAAGGAAGGCCGAGCGCCAAAGAATAGATTCTTTTGAACTATGGTGCTGGAGAAGACTCTTGAGAGTCCCTTGGACTGCAAGGAGATCAAATCAGTCAATCCTAAAAGAAATCAACCCCGAGTGTTCCCTGGAAGGCCAGATACTGAAGCTGAAGCTCAAACACTTTGGCCACCCAATGAGAAGGGAGCACTCACTGGAGAAGACCCTGATGCTGGGAAAGACTGAAGGTCAAAGAAGACGGGGACGGCAAAGGATGAGATGGTTAGACAGTGTCATAGATGCAACGAGCATGAAATTGAGCAAACTTCAGAGGACGGCGGAAGACAGGAAGGCCTGGCGTGATCTGGTTCGTGGGGTCGCGAAGAGTCGGACTCGACTGTGCGACTGAACAACAACAACATGTGCTTTGTGTAACTTCTAGCTCGGCTCTCGGTCACTGTGATTGGCAGAAACCTCACACGAAGCTGCCTCATATGACCACGGGGCTGTCGAGGTCTTGTCTACTCAGATTGGCACCGGCTCTCCAGGGGTTCAGGTGGGCATTACCTGCCACCTGATCCCTTCTAACTGGAGATGGAAACCTAGGATCTTTGCCGTGCCAAGCAGATGTTCTTCCACTGAGCCACAGCCCCTTCAAGATAGTTGCGGGAGGGAGGAGGTCTGTGTTTCTGCTGCCATTAATGGTGTGCACATAAACAAGATGAGAAAGGAAATATCTTTTACTGAGTCAGCTTTTTGGAGGGGCAGTTTGCCAGCTTCCATATGAGACAGTGTTCTTATCAGGTGGCCGGCCAAGGGCAGCTCAGGCCCGTAGCCAGGACTTTGTGGCTTGTGGGGCAATTTTTTTCCGGTGGGGCTGAAGTTCTCAGTGCAGAAAGAAAAGCCACTTCGCGGGTGCCAGGATAGCTCTCTAAATTGCAAGCTGCTGACCACTTTTAGATGACAGTTCTCAGCCACTGCAAATTCATCACTTCTGCCAGCTTAAGCAACCATTCTGATAACGTGGTTATCAGCAGTGTTCCCGCTAAGCTGAGTCAGCATGAGCCAGCTCACAGTTTTTTAGCCTCCAGCTCACACATTTTTGCCTTAGCTCAGGAAGGGCGGCTCCAGAACAAACTCATCCATGCAGTAGCCAAACCGCTCGCTCACAACTTTAATGCCAGTCGCTCACAAAGTAGAATTTTTGCTCACAAGACGCCATAGCTTAGAGGGAGCACTGGTTATCAGGTGGGAGTGATCACTTCTACAGTCAAGAAAGCCAACACTTAGGCAGAAAAATGCTCTTAAAGGAGACCGGTTTCTTGTCACAGAGTGAGAAGGGATCCTAGAGGTCACCTACTCCAACCCCCTTGCTCAGTGTGAGAATTAGTCAACTGCAGCACCCCACTCTGCTTAAAGGAGCGCACGCCTTTAAAAAAATGTTTTAAATGATTGAAAAAAAACATTTACAGGAGAAATTATTGTGGGGCTGTGCCTTTAAGAAAGGGGGCGGAGCCCCTAAAAGCCCCACCATAGCTACAGGCCCGGGGCAATATATTTGCAGCTGGCCATACAACAGTGGTGAGGCCAAGTATATTTGTCTGAGAGCAGTTAATATAATAAGAAACGGCTCAGCGCTCCTATACACAGAGCCAAAGAGCTGCACCGGCAAACATGACGGAAGCATATCAAAGCCCAAACGGGCAGTTTGCAGGTTTGCCTCCGGATCGCTTCAGAAACGGGGTGAGCTTGTTATTGCGGGCCTTTGTTAACCCGCCTCATTTTCCCAGCTGCGAAAGGGTCAGAGCCGCAATTTAGCAGGGATAAAAGGAAGCCAGGCCCGGCGAGGCACCCCATTATGAAGGGTGAATAAACACGATCGCTCAGGGGGGGCACCCAAAAGGGGGGTTGCGGAATAACAATGGCCGAGTGACTCTAAGCTGGGAAAGGAGGTATGAATAGGCAAAGGCCGACGATGCTCCCCTTTGTTAAGAATATTTTTAATGTCCTTTGCAAAACACTCTTGACCAGCTGATGCCAGTGCGGGCAAACTCAATAGGAGAGATTTCCACCTCCGCTAAAGTAGCCCGGAAAGCAGAGTTTTAAAACTGCTGAAGGCATACAGATTCTGGAACAGGCAAATTCGAATCCAGGAGCATGTTAGAGACTGACAAGATTTTCAGGGTAGCAGCTTTCACGAGGCAACGCTCCCTTCATCAGATACGAGCTGGAAACAGAGATCCCTGAGTCCTTATCTCCCAGTCAGAAGGTGGGAGGGGTGTCAGGATGCAGAGGTACGATGCACATTGTGATCTGCTTGATTCGAGCAGAGAAATGCTTAGCGGATGAAAATTAGCATCTGTTGTGCACTGTATCTCTGCATCCTGAGTCCCAGTTTGGTATAGTGTTTAGGGTTCTAATCTGGGAGGACCGAGTTTGATTCCCCACTCCTCCACATGCAGCTGCTGGTGTGGTCTTGGGTTCGTCACAAGTTCTTTCGGAGCTGTTCTCTCACGAGCAGTCCTCGAGAGAGCTCTCTCAGCCCCACCGACCTCACAGAGTGTCTGTCGTGGGGAGGGGAAGGGAAAGGAGATTGTAGGCTGCTCTGAGACTCTGAGTGAAGGGCGGGGTATGAATCTCTTCTCTTCTCCTTCTTCAAACTTTCCAGGTGTTTGTTCTGAGTATTGAAAGGGGAAGGATTGCCTGTGCTGGACAATCTTCAACCCTACTAACACGGGGACCGTAAGTTTGTGTAGCTGTTTCACAGATGATAAATCACCTGTTTGTCACAGTAACACATTACAGTTTTAGCTGTACATTTCAAAAAAAAATTGCCTATACCTAAAGAAAACAAAAAACTTAAACTGTGAAAAGACCCTAGAAGTGATAAGGGGTGAACACAGACATCACAGACAATTATTCTTCCATCACGCCCTTGTTAGCACTCTCGTAGTAGTAGCTACCTCCGTCCCCTAAAAAGATTGTTTCTCTCTAGAGCAGCCGTCCCCAACATGGAAACCATGGGCACAATGGGGCCTGCTGACATCATTGCTGGTGCCCCCAAGTGCTTTTAGAAAGTGGGCAGGACCATCTGGGGGTTTTGCCCAGCAAGGCTTCTGATTGGCCACTGGAGATTTGATTGGCTGTACCGCTTTTAAAAAAATATTACTTTGGCAGCCGCTGCCCCCGCAGTACCAGGATTCTTACTGTGGGAGTAAATTGAAGCTGCGGCAGCCATTTTGTGGCTGGCTCCGCCTCCTGTGGCAGCCATTTTGTGGCTACGCCAGGCTCGTAACCAGGAATTTGTGGCCTGTGGGGCCAATTTTTTCTGGTGGGGCTGAGGTTCTCCGTGCAGAAAGAGAGACCATTTAGCCAACAGAAAGCTGCTACCAGGAGAGATCTCTAAGTTGCAAGCTGTCAGCCACTTTAGATGACAGTTCTCAGCTGCTGCAAGTTAATCACTTCTGCCATCCTAAGCTACAATTCTGAGAACAAGCTGGCAGGTGGGGGTGATGATTTATATAATCAGGAAAGCTCACACTTTGGCAGAAAAACTCTCTTAAAGGAGACCAGTTTCTTGACACAGAGTTAGAAGGGATCCTAGAGGTCACCAACCCCCTTGGCTCAGTGCGGGAATCAGTCAACTACAACACTCCACTCTGCTGAAAGGAGCGCACGACTCTTTAAAATGTTTTAAAATGATTGAAAAAAGCATTTACAGGAGAAATTCTTGTGAGGCTTTGCTTTTAAGAAAGGGGGCAGAGCCTCACAAAAGCCCCACTATAGCTACAGGCCTGGGCTGCACCCACCGTACTGCATGAGATTTCCAAAGGGGCCCGCGGGTTCAAAAAGGTTGGGGACCCTTTCCCTAGAGGACAGATTCAGAGGGGTACATCTCAGGTCCCACTAAACCACAAATACCTGGCTCTTCCTCTCCCCGCCCCACCACAGAAATCAAGGTGCTCCACAATTTCCCATCTGTTCCCTCCACTAACGGATTTTCAGGTTGTATCGACACTGCTTGGCTGAGCTCTGGGGATGCGCAGTTGGGATTTTGAGGTTCAGAAGATCTACAGAAGTCCATTCTTGGAAGTATGTTTTGTTTTAACTGGAGAATGGTTTCTACAGCGGATGGGATCTATAGGTCGGAGACTTCCCCTGAATAGGCGTTGGGCTCCTCCTCCGACCTCGTGGTCACCTTGAACTGACGCCGCAGGAACCCGCCGTAGCGCTTCTGATTCTCCCACTTGAGCTTTGGGCGGATCCTGCGCAGGAAGCCCCCGTAGCGTTTGTGCAGGTCTTCCGCGGCCTGCCCGTCCTCCTCCTCGGCGGCGGCCCCTTCTGAACCTCTCTTGGGGTACTTGCGGAGGAAGCCCCCATAACGTTTCATCTCATCCTTGAGAGATCCCAGATCTGAGTCATCCCCGGCGTAGCCCAGATCGCCAGTCTCCAAGGCCTCCGGGTAATCCTCCCCTTCGCCCCGCTCGGAGGCTGACCTCTCCCCTATCTTGCGGAAGAACCCGCCATACTTCTTGCTGATGCCCTTGGGGTGAGCGTTCTCGCGCAGCAGAGAGAGGATCTTGTTCTTATCCAGCTTCCGCGTGAAGCCACCGTAACGTTTGACCAACCCGGCGTAAAGCTCCCACGATGTGGGGCTTCCGCCTGGATTGGACCGCTCGTCTTCATCCCCCTGGGATAGTCTCTTGGACTGCTCTTCCAACAGGAAAGGGGCCGAGCCAGACAAAGCTTTCCTGCAGGCCTCCCAGTCTCCGGCTGACGGCAAGGAGCCCTGGCACTCCAGGGAACAGATCTGCAAAGACAGTAAGAAATGGAAACCCTTTGTTCCGGCTTGCATCCTCCAGTTGTCCCGCTGCCTTTTTTGGCAGCGTTTCGGAACGGGGGAGAGGAGGCTGCCAGAGACACCAACCGGGGAGCATGTAAATAAACATTTTGCAGAATGTTTTACTGTTTCGCCCAAAAGGTACTGAACACATGGAATTCACTGCCACAGGAAGTGGTGGTGGCTACAAGCATAGACAGATTCAAGAGGGGATTGGATAACCATATGGAACATCGGTGGCTATTGGTCGCAAGGGATAGATGGAACACTGACGTTTTCCGCACAAACGGGTCTCCCCTCTCCTATATTTGTATTCCTCCGCCACTTTCACTCATTTCCATAGAGGTATTTGCAGTCTGAGTTAGAAGAAGGAGAAGAGAAGAAGAGATTGGATTGATACCCCATGGCCCTTCACTACCCAAAGGTGTCTCAGAGCGGCTTACAAACTCCTTCCCCTCCCCACAACAGACACCCTGTGAGGTCGGTGGGGCTGAGAGAGCTCTGACAGAAACTGCTCTTTTTCAAGAACAGCTCTTAACAGAACTACGGCTTGCCCAAGGTCATCCAGCCAGGTGCAAGTGGAGGAGTGGGGAATCAAGCCCGGTTCTCCCAGATTAGAGTCCGCACACTTAACCACTACACCGAACAGCTACAAAAATATAGTTCGTTCTCTCTTATTTATGTATTTATTTACTTATTATTTATCAGACTTCCCTGTTTCCAGGAATTCCCTCGCTGCACCACAAGAGGGAGCAAACTGTGTTTTTGCTCCTCGGACTGCAAATACCTCTGTGGACACTAAAAAAAGTGGCAGAGGAATACAAATGCAGGAGCGAGGAGACCCATTTGTGCGGAAAACATCACTATGTCTGGGGCAATGACACTCTGTATCCTTGGTGTTTGGGGGGCAAGAGTGGGAGGGCTTCTGGAGTTCTGGCCATGCTGGTGGACCTCCTGATGGCCCCTGGGTTTTGGCTTCTGTATGACACAGAGTGTTGGCCTGGATGGGCCATTGGCCTGATCCAACATGGTTTCTTTTTATGTTCTTATATGGAGCAAAGGTCCATCAGTGACTATTAGCCACAATGGCCCATCCAGTGCAACGCTCTGTGTCACACAGTGGCCAAAACCCAGAGGCCATCAGGAGGTCTACCAGCAGGGCCAGTACTCCGGAAGCCCTCCCACTGCTGCCCCCCAAACACCAAAAATACAGAGCATCCCTTGCCCCAGACAGAGTGTTTCATCTGCACCTTGCAGTGAGTAGCTTGTTGTCTCCTTTGGGCCCTTAGAGAGACAGAGGGTAGTCCCACAGGAACTGGGCCCTTTAATCCTCTCCACATTTGTTTAGCTATCCTAGTTTGAGTCATTGGATAAACCCCTTCATGTTCCATCAGTGGTTTTGTTATGGACATTGTGTGTTGGGTGGGGGGGTTCTATGTTGTAATGTTTCGGTTGCTAGGAGTTTTTTTGTTTTTTTCGCAACCGTAATTGCCGTTTTCCCATGATTCCAGGTGACTGTGAGTTTAACTCACTTAATTGTATGTGATTTTTAATTGATGGGTTAATTCCGTTAGGTACCATGGAAGCTTCAGCTAAGCAGTTGCAGAGTATAAATTTTACAAGAGTAAGTAAACAGGGACTGGGTGGCTGGGTTGCTGTTTCAGCAACATCCACAGACCCAGACTTTTGGATGCAAAGCTAAACTGCAAAGCAAGCCTTGCATATACATCAAATGAAACTTAATTTGCACAGTTCAATTTAATTACAATAACCACGTCCTGTCTTGGGGACTGCCAAGTGTTTTTAAAGGGGGGGCAGGGCAAGGTGGAGCTTTTGTGCAATATGGCTTCCAGTTGGCTGTTGGAGGTTTCATTGGTTGTGCAGATTTTTAAAAACATGGCTTTGGCAGTAGCTGCCACGCCACCAAAATGCAAGGATCATTACTGTGTGACCGGAGGTAAGCTACGGCAGCCAATATGTGGCTAGTTCCACCTCCTGCAGCAGCCATTCTGTGACTGGCTCTACCTCCCATGGTGGCCATTTTGTGGTTGCACCCACCACACTGTGTCAGAATTCCAAAGGTACATGCAGGCTTAAATAGGTGGGCAGGTCCATAGATACAGTGGGGCATTTCGGGGCTCTGTCCCCTAAAATGTGAGGCATGCCCCACAATATCTGCTGCCCCTCTCCCTCTTCCCTCCCCTCTTGTAACATTAAAAGGGCCCTTCAGCTGATTGGCTGGAGCACATGGCCCACTGATCAGCTGGAGGGCCCTTTAAATATTGCAGCCACCCCTCTCCCTCCCCTCCTTCAAAATTGCCTCTTGGAATCCAGGGAAGGTGTGCAGCCAGCAGCCGCCCCTCTCCCTCACCTCCTGAAAGGGAGAGGAGTGGCCACACAGAGAGCCAGTTTGGTGTAGTGGTTAAGTGCGTGGACTCTAATCTGGGAGAACCGGGTTGATTCCCCACTCCTTCACTCGCAGCTGCTGGATGACCTTGGATCAGTTAGAAGTTCTCTCAGAGTTGTTCTCTCATGAGCAGTCCTTGAAAGAGCTCTCTAAGCCCCTCCTACCTCCCAGGAGGGGGAAGGGAAAAGAGTTTGTAAGCTGCTCTGAGACTCCGAGTAGAAGGTGGGGTATAAATCCAATCTCTTCCTCTTCTTCTTCTTCCCTGATCTCCAAGCAGCAAAAAAACCTCTTGGAGATCAGGGAAGGCATGCAGCCACCCCACTCCCTCCCCCCTCCCCCTACCTTGCTGCCCCATAAAATTTCCCCATACCACACCAACCCAAAATTTCTGGCTACGGGGCTGAAGGTGGGGGACACCCAGTCTGTTTCACTACTAGAATGAAATGGGAAAACACAAATGAATGGCGTTACCACGTGGAAAGGTGGGATATAAATATTTTAACTGATAAATAAATACATTTTTAAATTTTAACTTTGCCTTCATTCTAAGTGGTGGCAGCGGTGGGATAATCCACATGATTCCATTCTTCTGGGACTAAGTAGTAAACAGGAAGAAGTATATGATGGATGTGCCTTCCTGAGTAGGCAGAATATCTTCCCACTTTAAAATGGTTGGTTGTGTTTCTCTAAGCGGGGTAGGTGGGAGGTTGTAGGAAATGAGAGGTTTTATTTCCTGAAACTCAGAAAAGCTGGAAGCCTCATAGAAAATTAGGGCCAGTCCTTGCCTCTGATTGGTCAGCATCCATGGTATCAGGCTGTGTCAAACCTTGCTAGACAGAGGTGTTTCTGCCTTGCCTATAGTAAGGGTTGCCAACCTCCAGGTAGGGCCTGGAAATTTCCTGGTATCACAACACCTCCAGACTACAGAGAACAGTTCCCCTGGAGAAAATGGCCAGTTTGGAGGGCGGATCCTGCTAAAGTCTCCTTTCCTCCATAAACCTCATTCACCCTAGGCTCCATCCTGAAATCTCCAGAAACTTCCCAACTGGGAGCTGACAACCCTAAGTGAGCTGGCTCACAGTTTAGTTCAGTAACCAGCTCTGATCAGGATTCCTGTGAAATTCTTTGCATATATTTTATTCTCTAAAATGAAAAAGGGTATTCGGCATTTTAATCACTCACTCTGTAAAGTAGTATTTCCTTTGTCCTTCCTGAACCTACTGCCCATCAGCTTCATTGGATGCCCTCATGTTCCAGTATTTTGGGAAAGGGAGAAAAAGTTCTCTTTGTGAACTCTCTCCACCCAGGTCCTCTGGATGGCCAAAAACAGGGCATAGAAGCCAAGGCCTTCCCCTGATGTTGCCTCCTGACTCTGGGATTCAGAGGATTAGTGCCTCTGAATGCGGAAGTTCCCCTCAGTCACCATGGCTAGTAGCCATCAATAGACTTATCCTCCATGAATTTCTTCCTGTGGCCATCACTATATCCTCTGGCAGTGAATTCCACATTTGAATCGCTCTCTATGTCAAGTAGTATTTCCTTTTGTCCATACTGAACCTACTGCCCACCAGTTTCATTTTTATCCTGCCTTTCCTTGTTCAATAGTAGTTAAAAAGCTTTTCAGTTTAAAACAAAAAACCAAAATGGCAAACCCCAAATCTCTCCCCGTAAAAGATGCCTGCCAGTCCAAACTCCCTCAAAAGCCCTGGGCAAACAGGCAGGCCTTGCAGCACCTCCTGAAGATCTCCAAGAAGGGCCCCTCCCTCGCCTCTTCAGGGAGCCCCTCCCACAGAGCCAGACCCACGATGGGAAAGGCCCTGGGCTCTGGTCCATGCTAGACAGGCCACCCTAGGCGGTGGATGAGCCAGCAGATGGCTGCCTGGTGACCATAGCTGGCACATGGGGACTTACCAAGGGGCTGATGGGCTTCTCCAGATCCTGGCTGTGCAGCGCACATGTGGAACACTCAGCAGCACAGTCTGCAGAGGCAGTGGGCACCAAGCCGACGCAAAGAGCCAGTCCCAGAAGGTGCCACTCCATCCTCACCAGCAAGGCCCTGCAAGAACGGGAAAAGAGATCAGAATGGGGAAAGGCAATTGATTCTGTGTCAGGGATTCGGAGAAGAGAGCAGAGACACATGGGGAAAAACGACACTGCTGTGAGCCAGCTCCCAGGCAATTCTGGTTGTGATCGTCCACCCTGCAGGTTTTCAAAGCCCCAAATGTAGAAGTACAAATTGGAATGGGATTGCCCATGGAGGAAGAGGCAGAGCAGGTGGAGGAGGAAGGGGAGGAGGAGAAGAGTTCGTTTTTATACCCCACTTTTCTCTAACCTACTGTAATGTACTCGCCTCGACCACGTGCGCGACCGTTGGGCCATGTGGTCGTGCATAAGCCTGAAGCTTCGTTCCTTGAGAACAATAGCCCAGCGGATCCTAGCCCGCACCTATCGGAGGGCCAGGTCTGCAGCCGAGAGCCTATGGGACTCTCGGCTTCTTTAAATAGCCAGTAGGGAGTAGGGGGTGTGTTTTGGTGTGGGTTTTACAGCGCATATAAACCGGCCTGCGAGCCGGCATGCCTTGTCTTTGTTCCTGCTAAATAAAAGTACTCTTGCTGAATCACTCCACGCTCTCAGTACTTTTCACCTACAGAGTCTCAAAGCGGCTTACAATCACCTTCCCTTCCTCTCCTCACAACAGGCACCTTGTGACCAGTGTTCCCTCTAAGCTGAGTTAGTGTGAGCTAGCTCACAGTTTTGTAGCCTCCGGCTCATGCATTTTTGTATTAGCTCAGGAAGGATGGCTCCAGAGCAAAGTAATTGATGCAGCAGCCGAATCGCTCGCTCACAACTTTTAATGTCGGTAGCTCACAAAGTAGAATTTTTGCTCACTAGACTCCACAGCTTAGAGGGAGCATTGCCTGGAATTACAGGTTCAAATGCCCACATAGACATAACAGATGGAGCATAATGACAGGGTCTCAGTTAATTACTCTCCGCATTCCACAATTAAGGATACATCTGCCCATCAATCTCCAATTTTGACGTATTTATTTCCTTCACTGTTCCCCCCCACACCGGTATTAAACCCAAACAAATGGTAACCATATAAACTAAGCTGAGAGCCAGTTTGGTGTAGTGGTTAGGAACATGGGCTCTGATCTGGGAGAACTGGGTTTGATTCCCCACTCCTCCACATGCACCTGCTGGTGTGACTTTGTGTCAGTCACAAGTTCTTTCAGAGCTGTTCTCTCACAAGCAGTTCTGGAAAGAGCTCTCTCAGCCCCACCCACCTCACAGGGTGTCTGTTGTGGGGAGGGGAAGGGGAAGGGGAAGGAGATTGTAAGCCGCTCTGAGACTCCTTTGGGTAGTGAAGGATGGGGTATAAATCCAATCTCTTCTGCTGCTGCTCGTTTTTCCTGTTTGGTCCTTGAATCTGTTATTTATTTATTTATTGCATTTACACCCCGCCCTCCCCGCAATGCAGGCTCAGTGCGGCTCACAGTCAGTACATAAAATACAGTTAAAACCTATAAAGCAATTCTATTATTAATACAGTTTCATAAAATGCTGAAGATAGTTACTCAAGATGGCTTATTTCAGCGTACTCTTTAAAAATCCTTTTGCTCAAGATCTTCCTGCGGCTCAGGCTGGATGTTAAAACCAAGAGCCAGGGCTCAGTAATGGTGGCATCACCCTAGCTAAAAGGCAGGCGGAAGAGCTCAGTCTTGCAGGCCCTGCAGAACTGCACAAGGTCCCGCAGGGCCCTGATCTCCTCCAGGAGCTCATTCCACCAGGATGAGGCTGCCACCGAGAAAGCCCTGGCCCTGGTAGTCACAAGCCTGGCCTCTTTGGGGCCAGGGAGGGTCAATCGATTTTGAGACCCCAACCAAAGTGCTCTCTGGGGTATATATGGAGAAAGGTGGTCCCGTAGGTATGCTGGACCCTGGCCATATAGGGCTTTAAAGGTAAGAACCAGCACCTTGAAGTGGATTTGGTATGCTATTGGCAGCCAGTGCAGTTGCCGCAGCACAGGCTGGATGTGCTCCCACTTGGGGAGACCCAACAAAAGCCTGGCCGCAACATTCTGCACTAGCTGCAGCTTCTGGATCTGCGACCAGGGCAGCCCCATGTAGAGAGCGTTACAGTAGTCTAGTCTCAAGGTGACCATAGCATGGATCACTGTTGCTAGGTTGGTGTGGTCGAGGAAGGAACCAACTGCCTGATCAGTCGAAGATGGTAAAAGGCCAACCTGGCAGTGACCACTACCTGGGCTTCCATCGTTAGGGAGGTATCCAGGAGCACTCCCAAACTCCTAACCTCTGGCACTGGCACCACCGGCGCCCCGTCGAAGGTCGGGAGGGGAAACCAGTTTTGTGTAGAGAGCCAGTTTAAGTGCGCGGACTCTAATCTGGAGAACCGGGTTTTATTCCCCACTCCTCCCCTTGCACCTGGCTGGATGACCTTGGGCAAGCCGTAGTTCTGATAAGAGCTGTTCTTAAAAAAGAGCAATTTCTGTCAGAGCTCTCTCAGCCCCACCTACCTCACAGGGTGTCTGTTGTGGGGAGGGAAAGGAGTTTGCAAGCCGCTCTGAGACACCTTTGGGTAGTGAAGGGCATGGGGTATACATCCAATCTCCTCCTCCACCACCCCCGAACCGCCCCGTCTCAAGCACAGGACCTCCGTCTTCAGTTTCAGCTGACTCAGCCTAAGCCAACCAGCCATGGCTTGCTCTGAAGTCGGCTCAGGGCAGATTACAAGGGGCAGAGCCCACGTAAAACATAATAAAACATAACATAATAGATAACACAGATAAAAGTAATAGATAACACAGATAAAAGTAAAGTGCTCCATGAAAACATGATGGTCCCCGAATAAATCTCATAATGGTAACAGTCAGTTCTTTGGGGGTGATCTTGTCCTGTAGTTGGTCCCAAGTAAGCTCGGTGGTACCTGTGCCACGTGGTGTTGTAGAAGATCTTCCTGGGGCCGTCCCTAGCCCCGTTGTTATCCACACCATTGGTGGTGGTGGCAGTGGTAGCCCCTATGCGAAAGCCTGGCGGAAGAGCTCCGTCTTGCAGGCCCTGCGAAACTGCATAAGGTCCCGCAGGGCCCTGATCTCCTCCGGGAGCTCACTCAGGTTGTTGTAACGATAAAACGGGCGAGGGGTTTATGTGTCCCACTCTGCTCTCTTTGGCAGAAAGACGGGAGAAAAATCTGACAAATACATTCTCATCATCTGATGAAGGGAGTTGACTTTCCAAAGCTGATACCCAAAAAAATCTTGCTGATCTTGAAGGGGCTACTGGACTCGAATGTAGCTGATATCGTCAGCAGTGTTTCTTTGGGTATTATTCTGTTTATTTTTATTTTTTAAAAAAAATCAGCCTTGATTTTTGGACTTCTCTCCTTAGACTCAAGGTCAGTAGCCATGCAGCAACAAGTCACAAGAGCACAAAAGTGGAGGTTAATGAACAAGATGAACACAGAGCGAGACAGATTAAAAGAGAGGCACAGAATAAAACAGAAAAGAACATGCAGATAAGACACACAGCCTAATGTGGTCAAACAATTTCATTGTTGGGAAAAGTGCTGTCTAGTTCGCATCCAATATGTGCCATTCCCATATAGTTTTCAAGGCAAGAGATGAGCAGAGGTGGTTTGCCGTGGCCTGCCTCTGCATAGCAACCCTGGGCTTCCTTGGTGGTCCCCCATCCAACTACTAACCAAGGTGATGATAGGATAACCATCTTCAAGTACTCGAAGGGCTGCCTTATAGAGGATGGCGCGGAGTTGTTTTCTGTTGCCCCAGAAGGTCGGACCAGAACCAACGGGTTGAAATTAAATCAGAAGAGTTTTCGGCAAAACATGAGGAAGAACTTCCTGACGGTTAGAGAGGTTCCTCGGTGGAACCGGCTTCCTCGGGAGCAATGTTTCCTCTAAGCTGTGGAGTCTTGTGAGCAAAAAATCTACTTTGTGAGCTACTGGCATAAAAGTTGTGAGTGAGTGATTAGGCTACTGCATAAATTAGTTTGCTCTGGAGCCATCCTCCCTGAGCGAAGACAAAAATCTGTGAGCCAGAGGCTAAAAAACTGTGAGCAAGCTCACACAAACTCAGCTTAGAGGGAACACTGCTCGGGAGGTGGTGGGCTCCCCTTCTTTGGACGTTTTCAAACAGAGGCTCAATGGCCATCTGACAGCAAGGCTGATTCTGCGAACTTGGGCAGATCATGAGAGGGAGGGCAGGAAGGGTTGCATCAGTGCTTAGTTCTTGTGGCCCTTTCTTACATGCCCAGGGAATTGCTGATCACCACTTTAAGGTCAGGAATAGGGATGTGCATTCGGTTCATCCGAACCAAATGCAACCCCGAAAATGGCCCCAAAAACAGGATTGAGTAGACGCGGGGAAAACCACGCGAAGCTCCGGGGCAAAATGCGGCCGCACAGCAGCTTGTGTGAAATTGACACGTACCATCGGGGCAAAAGGGAAGAGAGAAAGAGTGACTACAGGAGCAAGTGTTAAAAATAAGTGTGTGTTTTTTTTCTCCCCAAGTACTATTGGCAACCAACAGCTGACTGTTCATTTATACAAGTAGTAAAACTGCATTCTTCAAATAATGGCTTCTGAGGACTAAGAATTGTCCTCGTAGGCATCCCTGAAGAGATAATCAATGAATTGGTTAAAGCAAGGCTGTGCTCCAGCAACTGATGTAAAACTGGACAAGTGGCTACAACACAAATGTAGCCAAGGTATCATTACCAGATGTATTATCAGTATAATACCTAGCATTCTAAGAGATCCCTTGATTTCATTTCCATTTAAAGTACACCTTATTTCACTGAACTCTTCACTGAACTCAATTCAATATTCCTTTAAAACACATATAAACTTTGGGTCATAGATCCAGCGCATTCATTGGGATGACTATCCCCTGTCCCCCCCCATCCCCCGCTGGTGGCCAAGGGGGACCTGGCAAGCCTATCTGGAGATCAGTGTTCCCTCTAAGCTGAGTGAATGTGAGCTAGCGTACAGTTTTTTGGCC